TAAAATTAAGGCATTAGCATAAATCAAGTTCAATTATAACCTTGCATATGTACTATCAGACTAGGCAAAACACACAACTAATTTTAAGTTTCTTCATCACTGCTTCAAGTGGCAATCAATGCTTATCAGTACAATCTAAGACAATATGGAAAGACATGGAGAGATGTTGAGCAAAAGTTACAGACACTTAAAAAGAATATATGTCGGATAACATCAACAATTCACTAAAAGCATTGTGTCCAGTTTGTCATACTACTATGAAGCTAATGAATCTAGAAGTAAATTTGTTTGACTTGCCAAGATGACAAGCAGAAAGAAAAATGTACGAGGAAAAAGGGAAGAGGCCTATTCAGTGTCTTCACATTCAGGGAAATGGACTTTCACATCAAGGTAACGAATTAACAAAAAACCACTATTTAGCAATGATAAGTGAAAGGTACTCACTAAAAACAAGCCACCTTCTCATATGTCCTCATAGTTATTAAACCTAGTCTGAACATTGTCCACGCAAAAAGACCAGGTCAACGGCCGTTGGGTCGAACCATAAAATTAAAAATTAACAATAATTATTCATAACAATGAATATGCTAAAAAGTAAAAACTTGTAGTAGCTACAGAAATAAAATGTTTTATGTTAAGAGTAGATCAAATAAAAAACACAAAAAATATTCATAGAAAATTTGACAAATAGGTATTGAAAACTGGTGTAAATAGTAACATGTATTAACCAAAATAATAATAATAATAATTGGAAGAAAAAGACAAGAAGCTAAGACCAAGACATATATCGTATAAAAAAGGAAGAGAAAGCAAGGCTTTCAGTGTGGAGTATCAAGCCATCCCACATCAGAAAGCAATAGGAAAACAAAATGAGCATGCGCCTATAAGAGGTGCACTTCATTATCTAAAGCTGAAAATCACTGTTTCCCAGATACTTGGTGCCCATGGAATTCAGTTCTAGAAAACAATATTATGAACCTCAGTTCAAAGTTGCATAGTTTAGCAAAGTCCCACCATAAAGAGGTAAGAGATATTCTACTTAGGTTCTTTGAATCATGGTATATGACGATATGAGCATAACAAGTGCCACAATGCCAACAGAGAAAAATAAAAACAAGCCTTCAAGATGATATTAATAGNTAAAGAGGTAAGAGATATTCTACTTAGGTTCTTTGAATCATGGTATATGACGATATGTGCATAACAAGTGCCACAATGCCAACAGAGAAAAATAAAAACAAGCCTTCAAGATGATATTAATAGTAGTTATGGCATTATATAGTGAACGTCCTGGCCTTCAATAACAATTATTAATTCACAACACACACAAGACTGATAGCATGTGTTCAGAAAATCCACTAATTTCCGAAAATAATCCTGACCCAAAAAAAAAAAATTTTTAATAAATTGCACTCAAACCCTAAAAAGAATGAAACTTCCGTAAGATAACTATCAAAATTTGCACCTTCACACAATAACAAATTAGCAAAACAGAACGACACACAGAGCAAACAAATAAGCCCTAGAATTCCAGACAATTGACAATGGCAGCTTAGATTTATATCTATGTGCTCTGAACATGCGAAGAACATATAGCAATAAATATATTTCTAACCTTCGTTAGTACAGCGGATCAATCAATATCTATTCTCTGATCTCTGTGTAAATTCTTGTATCAGAGACTTGTCATAGGAACTAATTGCTACGTTGATAGGCGAAATTCTAATTATTTTTCGGCAAATAGATCGCGATCGGTCACCAGGAGGGAGGGAGGGAGAGAGATAGAGAGAGAGCGCAAAAACTATCTTTATCCACCGCCTACTGGTTCTCCTGTATGTCTCCTGGTAGGAAATGCGAACGAAAGGGACGGGTGTTGCGTAAAATCACAANATCGGTCACCAGGAGGGAGGGAGGGAGAGAGATAGAGAGAGAGCGCAAAAACTATCTTTATCCACCGCCTACTGGTTCTCCTGTAAGTCCTGTCTCCTGGTAGGAAATGCGAACGAAAGGGACGGGTGTAGCGTAAAATCACATNCTAATTATTTTTCGGCAAATAGATCGCGATCGGTCACCAGGAGGGAGGGAGGGAGAGAGATAGAGAGAGAGCGCAAAAACTATCTTTATCCACCGCCTACTGGTTCTCCTGTATGTCTCCTGGTAGGAAATGCGAACGAAAGGGACGGGTGTTGCGTAAAATCACAAGTCCATTGTGGTCAATGCCCTTCCAGTTTCCAAGAATCACCGGATTGCCCTGGCTTAGTTTGGCCTCTCTGCTCCTTTGGTACGATAGAAAAATAACTTATCGAAAATTAGATAGACGTACGATCGGAGGAATAAATAAAATATTATATTTTGTAAAAAAAAAAAATAAGAAGAATAAATAAGTGGATGAATTAACTTTTTTTCTAATTCACTAAAATCAATTCCTCTAAAATCGGACTAAAAATGAATAGAAAGTTAATTATTTGTGTTGAGATATATCTTATTTGTATATATATATATATATATATATATATATATATATATATATATAAATTAAAAAAATAAAAATTTAAAATAAAAAAAATATTTTTTTCATCTTAACGAGGGCTGAAAATTATCGACTCAACACGATGACACAATTCGAACTCGACACAAATTTTATGACACAAACTTGATTATAACTCGACACGAACTTAAAAATAACCTGATATGTGAACAAAAAATATATAAAACTCATAATTTTATGACTCATCACGAATATGATATGACACGACTCAATTTTCACCCCTAATTTTAGCCCAGCACAAAAAAAAAATTAGTGATTATTATTTTTCATCCATCAAATCAAACACAACAGAAAAAAAATATATCATTCCTACTTTATATCCTTGAATGATATAAAGTGTATCCCTTCTACTTTTCATCCTTCCTATTAAACGTAACATTTCAGACTCATTTTGGGTCCCTAATACTGCAGTTGTATCACCTTAGATAGTCTTTCATTAAATTCAATTTATTTTTAAGTAATACTCACACGATTTTTTTACGGTTTATATCCATGTGCTCACGGAGGGCATATTTAACAAATCACTTTTTAATAAACCCCAAAATTATAGTGGTGTTCCTCATGTCTCGTTTTAATTTCTAATATTATAACTATATTACATTAATCTCTAATACATTTAATTTATTTGTAAGTTATTTATACAAATTATGTTGTTGAGGTTTGTAACGATTTTTTGCCTATATGATACGATACCCAATGTGTGTGTNATTTGTAAGTTATTTATACAAATTATGTTGTTGAGGTTTGTAACGATTTTTTGCCTATATGATACGATACCCAATGTGTGTGTCCAAAATGAATGACATATTGGACAAATAAATGCTTATATCCCCAAAAAAAAATTGTATTGTTTAGGGAGAGAAACATTATCGCCATATTTTTCTCAACGAACAACATTTTATTTTATTTTTTGCTCTAATATTGATTTGTCCTTTTTCATTTGCAAAGCACATGGGTAGAAAATCATTAAATTTTTGGATAATGTCTTGCATCTGGATCATTTAAAAATAAATTGAATACATCATGGACTAATGTGATAATTGTAAAGTGAGGGATCAAAATTAAATGGAGCGCATAATTTAGGGCCACAACAAATTTATAATTATATTATTTATATAATCAACAATCATAAATAAATAAAAATGATTTTGTGGCTCAAGGGACATGATATTTATTTTTGTTTTTGGTCATTAGTCAGGAATGTTTAGACCAATTTATGCGGATTTCGATTAATCTCTTAATCGATCGGGTCAAATACAAGTCATTCACGTTCGGACTTAGGTATTCACGAGAGATAAATTCCTCATGGTCTGAGTTTAAGGAATTACCAATATTCGAACTTAAAACGTTTAAATTTATAGCTCTTTTCCGATTACCACTTGAGCTTTGAGATTATTTATATTTTAATAAATTACATATATAACTCTCCAACTATGACTATTGTGTCAATTAAATCTTTTGAAATTTTTTTTTGTGTCAATTAAATTCATGAATAATCTAATCGTGTCAATTGAGTTTTTTTGCCTCTACTAAATTTTATAATGAAAAGTGACGAAGTGTGTCATTCGACGCANTTCATGAATAATCTAATCGTGTCAATTGAGTTTTTTTGCCTCTACTAAATTTTATAATGAAAAGTGACGAAGTGTGTCATTCGACGCAAATGGTTGAAATAAATTATACATATGGCCTTAAAACTATAACTCTTAAATCAACAAGTCTCTAAAGTTTTTTATGTTAATTGAACCTTAAAATCTCTAATTATGTCAATTAAATCCTTAAAATATCTAATTATGTCAATTAAATCCTTTTATATTATATAGACACGTGAGTGACACATTCTAACGAAAGTAGTCAGAAGGTTCAATTATACAATTAAAGAGTTTAAGAGTTTAATTAATATAAAAAAATTTAAGAACTTAATTGATATAAAGNTAGTCAGAAGGTTCAATTATACAATTAGAGAGTTTAAGAGTTTAATTAATATAAAAAAATTTAAGAACTTAATTGATATAAAGTTTATAATTTGAGGTGTAATTTTTTTTTTTTAACATAAAGTTTATAATTTGAGGTGTAATTTACTCTTTATTTTTTGTGTTTGAATCGGTGGGAAAATGGTATATTTTTTTTTGGTCAGAGTGGGAAAATGGTATTGGGAATTTGGGAGATACTTTTTCATTTGCTCATCCTTAAATCGACGTTTATTCTGGCTACATAACAAACAGCAATCGACTTCAATAAAGATCGCATTAGCAGCCATAGGATTAGGGATGTCCCACGTAAAAAGAATCAGCGGCTACGCGAGCGCAACGTGTCAACATTCTGAACTCTCTCTCTCTCGCTTTCCCCCTTCTTCCACTTCTGGTGGCTCTTTCAAACCCAGCAACGTTGAAGTCATCGCTGAACTGTTTTGTATTATGCATTGTTCTCACAAAAAACCGTACCAGACCCCATGTCCACGTTCCTGAGAAAGGTTTGGGAATCGGTTTCGTACCGTTCGAATTCGAATTCGAACTCGAATTATGATTACACATCGCACTGCTCGTCGACTGGAGCATTTGATCGATTACCTCTCGATATATTTATTATAATCGTGAAATTTCTTGGACCGAAAGATTCGGCGAAGCTATGCGCTGTGTGCAAATCGTGGAAACTAATTGTTTCAGACAATCGGCTATGGATATACTTTCTTCAGAATCAACGAGAGCCATGGGACTCAAACTTCTTCGGCGAAACGCACTTGCGATTGGGTTATCCTCATCGGTACAATTCGAATTATAGTTTGGTTTCTCGAGCTGATTCTATTGATTTTGTAGTTTTGATATTGACTGGCTGTGGCTGATCGCTAATGATAATGGCGTTCAATTGTCATCTTAATTATGGTAATATGTGAATGCAGAACATTCCCTTATCAGATGCCGGAGTTGTCATTCATGCACATCTATGGCCAACGTGCACAGGTCCCTGGCTCTGTTATCATCGAGGGTGTGTATCTCGAAACTCATTGTATTCATACTTCTGTTCCGAAAGTGGAAGCATAGCCTGTAAATCATTGCTCAACTCTTATTTTCAATCCACATATTGGATGAGTGCCTTGGATATATCATAAACTCACTGTCCTGTTTTGTGGGTTCATGATTAATTATTAAGTAGAAACATATCAACCTCAAAAATTAGCAGATTGATTGATTTCACTTACTAAGGTTATTGGTCATAGGTCTTGTTAATAGATTATAGTGCTTCAATTATCATTCTAAATTGCCATATCAGCATAAATTGAGTGGTAAACTAGTAATTTAATTACTCAACATATGTTTGTGAAAAGTCGGTTCGGGATATTGCAAATTTGGGTGGAGCAAATATGCTTCTCCGTCTGGGCGGTTCGCAACTTTTTTGGTGAGCTTTCTTCTTCAGCCAGCAATTTTAGGAGTTTTCTGGAGAAAAACCTTCCATATTTAGGAAGTTTGATGCAGTTTTTGAGTGTATTAGTGGTCCTCATCCCTTGAATGTTAGGGAATTTCAGAACTGCTTCATTTTGTCTGTTTTGAAAATTTACCTGATGTTCAGGAATTTGGTAATATTGAGTCTCCCATTTATTCAAGACTCCGACATTTTTTTGCAACAATTTATAGCAGGTTCGTATCCTATTAACTATTATACATTGCACCTTTTTTTTTTTGAAAGTATGCATTGCACCTGAAACTTCCTGAGTTAGTATAGACATGGTCGCACTCAACTCAACTCAACAATGCCTTGCCTCAACATTTTTGAGTAGGCTACATGAATCTTCTTTCGCCCATGTGCTCTATTAAGAGCTGTTCTTGTACCTTGATTTTCAACATTTTGTTGTGGCAACTCTCAACTGAAGATAAATAATCAGAAATAGTGTGATCATATTTTGGTCTAATAGAAAACATGCTCGATATTTGACTCAAATTCCGCATCATAAAAATGTGAATAGCTCTTGTAGTTTGGTGTTTTGCCAATAAATGTACAATGAAAGACATGTAGTAAGCTTGTTTTTGTTGGAGTTGAAGCGAACTCATTTAAATGTCAATCAAGATGCTAATTAGTTACAACACTCAATGTTTTAATGTATCTGGCCTTGAATGATGCTTCTTATCTCTAATAGACCATCCAATCCAAAACTAACCAGTAATGGGTGAAGTGGTCCTTCAAGTATATAAGTCAATCTCTTATACTTATTTTTTGATGTGGAGTATAAGCTCTCTCTATACCCTCTCTTACATGCCCCTTGTGTTCCCATGTCGCTTAACGAACAAACTGAAATAGAAAAGCAACCAAATTGAAGTTGAACTGAAACAAACAGATAAACAGACCGGGATTCAACATTGTGAGATTTTTCCACGAATCATCCAAACCTAGCTCTAATACCATGTTCGTGTTTAACTAAAAATTTATTAGTAGTGGGTGGAGTTGTCCCCTAAGTATACAAACAAATCCTGTGTGTACTTACATTTTTCAATGTGAGATAGAAACTCTCATCACAATCTCTCAAGCTATTTTTATTTATTTTTTATTATGTTCAAACTGTGATCATATGCAGAATGCAAGTGAAAACATCCACACAGCCAGTTGTTGTGTCTGTTCCAATCTGCCATTATGATGGTAAATTTCTAATTTTTTTACTCCAAACTTGTTATTTCTCATGCCCGTAGCTGTGTATCCGTGCTTACAATATGATAATTGAGAAGTGATTTTATAGCCTGCTGTCATCAGAGGCATTGTTTAACAGAGATGAGAGATCCACCCCCGGAGTGAGATAGTGATTTTAGTCTGTTTGGTGATGTGTGGCTGTAGTTTGAATGTTTCAATCAAGGACAACAGTTAATCCAAGTAATGAGTTGGTTGATGGAACTCAACAGCTTAAATCCTCTTGACGGTTATAGGGGAATATCCTATGAATAGATAACTACTCAGGACAAGAGGCATTTGCTCCTTGGAAAATCCATAGTCATCTATTGCTTGTAATCCATGAAATGAGCAATTTTGAAAGGAGTACTGTCTATAAACTTTTCATTGGTGGAGACTTTTCAGAACTGTCTGTATTTCCAAATTAAAAGGCTTAGCAAAAAAAATGCTATATGTAATACGTAATTTGATGAGTACCTTCATTTTCAAGTAAAAACTTCATTGTCAGTCCTTTTATAAGGGAAGCTGCCAGCTAGCTTAGGTGGCAAAGTTTCCCGCTTTTCTTTCAATACCCAGGTCTGCGAGCTTATACCACCCTGCCCTATGACATAGCAATTTTCTAGTTAAGTAAATGAGAGGATGAATAAAGTTTTCCATTGGTTGTAACAACCTGAAAAACTACGACTTAGAATTCCATTTGACATTGCTCGTCTTGATTGCTGAAATCCACATACGTTAAGCAACAAACCCTTTCATTCCTGCGTGTGGGCACTGGACAATGTCCAAGAGTCCATATTCTGGAAGTCTCAAATGATTTATGAAATATACACACTTGATTCTCATTCGAACTGTTGCTATCCATATATTATGGAGTTTTAGGTTATGCTTTCAAAGGTTTTCGAAGAAATATCTTAAAACAAGGTCCAAAAAATATCATGAAAATTTATATTGTACAAAGTTGGATGGTTTATATTTGTTTTTGTTGCTTTGTAGTGTGCCTACTAATTAATAGGCTAGTGATTGATCCATCTTCTTAATAGCTTGTTCATGTTGTGTTTCCTTGTAGGATCGAGGCGCTATGATTCCTAGGGTAAGCATGGGCTATCTTTGTTGTTTGGTGTATTTTTTCCCCAATAAAATCTTTATTAATGAGGGAAAAACAGTACAGGCCACGTGTGATACATTTTGAAATACATTATAGCCGATGTATCTCAATTGTAACTTAACATTACAGAACTTCTGTCCAGGAGGGCTTCTTTTGGAATCATAGGGATGCATGGGTTACAATAGAATCCTTTTTGTCTATGAATATATTTCGTATAGGCTTTTGGTATCAATTGTTATGGAAAATTGTAGGATGCTTGATTGTTTGTTCACTTTTTCTGCTTTGGACATCAAACAAACTCCAGCATCCTATGCTGTAGAGAAGAAATGTTTTACTGTTAAATTGACATTCCATTATTCTGTTTATGTTGAAATGGAGAGTAAATTTTGAAGAACCTCATGATCGTTTCTCCTCCCCTTGTCACAATCCCCCTTGTATGATGAGTCCACCTGACCTCTTATTTAATAGTGATTTATGGCTGGTTGAGCTTAAAAGATTCCTTATCACAACTTTCTTCTTTATATTGTAATTATTGTGTTCCAGATACTGAATCTGCCAAAGCGGCTAGAAGACAGCTAAAAGAAACCATCTATATGGCGCTTTTTGACATGAATGTTCCAGCTGTTTGTGCCATCAACCAGGTAGTTGTTAATCATCAAATTTACTTGTGAGAGTCCTTAGATGCTTGTCATCTAAACATAAAATTAGCTCTGCAGCAGTTGAAAGAGAATTCATTATTTTTCCTTTTAATAGATAATTCGCTCTATATCAGCTCACAGTATCGAATGGGGAACACAAAGTGCAACTAGTGTAGCAGGTGGGTTCTTGAAATCTTGTTTGTATGTCTTGGTTGGCCAACNACAGTATCGAATGGGGAACACAAAGTGCAACTAGTGTAGCAGGTGGGTTCTTGAAATCTTGTTTGTATGTCTTGGTTGGCCAACTTGGATGTCCTCTTGGGCATAGTTATCAAGTCGTGTATCGGAAGACGTATCGTTTTTTAAAAATAGTGTATTNATTTATTTGTAAGTTATTTATACAAATTATGTTGTTGAGGTTTGTAACGATTTTTTGCCTATATGATACGATACCCAATGTGTGTGTACAAAATGAATGACATATTGGACAAATAAATGCTTATTTCCCCCAAAAAAAATTGTATTGTTTAGGGAGAGAAACAGTATTGCCATATTTTTCTCAACGAACAACATTTTATTTTATTTTTTGCTCTAATATTGATTTTNATAGCATTTCATTAATACTCCACCACCTATTTAAGTCATCAACATAGTTCACTAATACTATAATGCAAAGTTTACAACCATAGTTCACTAATTCAAACACCAAAGAGACTTTTAATCCAAATTTTTAACATTTATTTTGAACTCAATCCATAAAATTAATCAAGATCCAGAAATTTTTATACAAAAAAAAAAATTAGTGTCTTGTTTAGACAAAATGACGTCGTTTCATCAGTGGCGGGGNCAAAATTAAATGGAGCGCATAATTTAGGGCCACAACAAATTTATAATTATATTATTTATATAATCAACAATCATAAATAAATAAAAATGATTTTGTGGCTCAAGGGACATGATATTTATTTTTGTTTTTGGTCATTGGTCAAGAATGTTTAGACCAATTTATGCGGATTTCGATTAATCTCTTAATCGATCGGGTCAAATACAAGTCATTCACGTTCGGACTTGGGTATTTACGAAAGATAAATTCTACATGGTCTGGGTTTAAGGAATTACCAATATTCGGACTTAAAACATTTAAATTTATAGCTCGCTTTGAGATTATTTATATTTTAATAAATTACATATATAACTCTCCAACTATGACTATTGTGTCAATTAAATCTTTTGAAATTTTTTTTTGTGTCAATTAAATCCATGAATAATCTAATCGTGTCAATTGAGTTTTTTTGCCTCTACTAAATTTTCTAATGAAAAGTGACGAAGTGTGTCATTCGACACAAATGGTTGGAATAAATTATACATATGGCCTTAAAACTGTAACTCTTAAATCAATAAGTCTCTAAAGTTTTTTATGTTAATTGAACCTTAAAATCTCTAATTATGTCAATTAAATCCTTAAATATCTAATTATGTCAATTAAATCCTTTTATATTATACAGACACGTGAGTGACACATTCTAACGAAAGTAGTCAGAAGGTTCAATTATACAATTAGNTAGGAATTCCCGATGGATACGGTTCATAAAGAAGCGAGGAACGTAATCTTGTCCCACACTAAGGATAGTGTACAGAATGAGTGTGAAAGATTCTTGCATTACTCTCTAACCAACGTTTCAAAGAATCGCTCTCAACACTGAATTCCACAGCACNTAGGAATTCCCGATGGATACGGTTCATAAAGAAGCGAGGAACGTAATCTTGTCCCACGCTAAGGATAGTGTACAGAATGAGTGTGAAAGATTCTTGCATTACTCTCTAACCAACGTTTCAAAGAATTGCTCTCAACACTGAATTCCACAGCACTTTGCTTCTTTACTGTTCCCAAAGTCTTAGAGCTTATCCTGAGACCACTTCTCCATTGTAGAATGGCACACCCATGCCTTTCGTATCATTTAAACCACTTATTGCAAGTTAAAGAGACATTAAGACTCAAAGTTTTGTTAGATTTTCTCACCGGCAACAAATTATTAGTATTCAAACTGTTGAGAACAATAAACCAAACAAATGCATTGACTTTTGAGTGCCCTTTTGCTTTGCAAATGAATTTGTTTATGGGAAAAGAATGAGCGTTTGGGGTATCCAACAAGATAGAAGTTAAAAAAAAAAAATAGCTGCAAGAAAAGAGACATGATCTATCCGCAGTCCAAAGTCGATGACATGAGAAGTAGTAGGATGGTTCTTATGAAGAATAACGAGCAAATAAGCTAAATCCTTTACTTCTCTATCATTGAGGTGCTTAAAGTGACTGATATCCCAAGAGTTAGATTCCTCCTACATAACAAGAAAACTAGAAATAAGAGCCTCGCGAAGAAAAGAAAGGATGAGATCAAAAAAAAGCAAAGAAAAGAAGGGCAATAAAGACGTGTAAAAACAACTTTAACTAGTGATTGTCCTTCCCAAGTTCCTTCCTAGAATAGAATTTTAAAACTCATCCCAACCTTGTTACGCATCAGAGGAAGAAGAGAATGGTATACCTGTGAAATGGATTTTCAAGGACTTTTATGAATTGCATTATGTTTTGATTTAGAATCTCAACCATTATGCTGAAGACCTCACTTACTCCTAAAAGGAGTTAGGTTCAAGTACCAAGTCCCAAACCCTGANAATGGTATACCTGTGAAATGGATTTTCAAGGACTTTTATGAATTGCATTATGTTTTGGTTTAGAATCTCAACCATTATGCTGAAGACCTCACTTACTCCTAAAAGGAGTTAGGTTCAAGTACCAAGTCCCAAACCCTGATTATCTCTAGGCTTACATACTTCCTCAAAAGTCACTTAATGATATCTTCTATTATCTCCCATACCTTACTAAAGAAAATCCTCTTCATCTTCTATAGCCATTTAGCAAGATCAACCGGATCCTAGACAAAGACAAATAATATAGACAAGTACTAGACTTGCATGCCTTTATCAAAGTAATCTGGCTCCCGAAGGAGGCATATGCCCTTTTCCTACAATCTAATCACCATTGTTAACATTATTGTTCCATTTGGGAGTTTGGTTTAGATAAGGCTATGCTGCCTGCCTTCTCCCCCCAAACCAGCCAATCCCTAAAAGAAAAAAATGTTGTTTTTTTGAGAGTTGGCATTGTATCTCCAAAATTGCAGGCTTTTTCTAGAACATTGTGGCAATTTATCATGTCATATACATATTCTTCTAGCTTTAATTAACTAGCGGGATATAAGGAAGTTCTATAGATTTTATGGAGTTGGGTTTTGTATCCTTTCTACTTCCTTGAGTTTTCACTAATTTATAATGCGTTTAGGGACCGACTTGATGGTTCATGATTTCCTCTCTTCCATGCACAGTTCCAATCATGTAGTGAATTTAGCTATGAGATTGTGTATATGAAGGGAGTAGGTTTACTTCTGTGATCTCACATTGTGCTCAACTTCCTTTAAGTTGTAGGAACAGATACCTACCTTCAAACTTATGTAAAATAAATGAAGGCCCACCAATGCTGACCAAGCATGAATATGATCTGAAATACGATTGAAATTGTATGGAACTCATATGCAATACAGTTATTTTGTTGAAAACGGCATGTAAGGAATATATTGTTTTTAGGGCAAGTGGTTGTGTTTATCTTTGTTGTTTGTCAAAAACCAAACCTATTAATTTAAGAGCTAGAAATCTTCTCACCTTTGCCATATTCCGACATTGGGATGCAATTTTGATTTCTGGAAGCATCACAGGCCTCCCATATGCGTCTATCTGGATGTTGTCCTTAGAAGTTTGGGAACTTGGTAGTGTACTCGATGATTGAAGGATCTACGGACTTACATTAACTCCCCATTACCAGTCAGAAGACTTCAATGTAATTGGGAACCATCGGGAAAAGACTTGGTTATTGGCCTCCTGAGTACCACTCATTTATTTAAGTGATGAGCTTTCAAGAATAGATAATGCAATGTGAGATTCCATTTGGGATCTGCAATGTCCCTGAAGTGGTGGAGACCTACTAATTGGACTTAGGTCTTCGACTAACTGACTGTATTGCCTTTTACATGAAATACACCTAACAAATCATGTTTCATGACCGGTCTTCACAGTATTTTTGGCTGCTGTTGGTACGTATACTAACATTCTTAGAAGATATATCTTAGTCAGCCGCAACATGAAGCTATGAACCAGAACTCTAATTCGAATTAACATTCTGCTAGTGCAGTATCACACTGAAGGATTGGATGCTTTTGTTTACGAACTCATTCTCATCTTTGTAAATTGCATCAAGAATAGATTCTTTTTTTGTGTACTTTATTCTTTTTGTTTTTGACATGGAATGACCAATTAAATGTGTAATGTTCTTTCTATGTTTTACCCCTCTAATTCAATCTCTGTTAGAAGTGCAGGCAACTTTAGCTTTATTCGCGGCTAGAAGGACTTCAGGAATTGTAGTTAACATTGGTTTCCACCAAACATCTGTTGTTCCCGGTAAGCTATCCCGATCCTCTTCCTTCCGATTGAATTTTGTTTCAGTGTAGTGTAGTGGGCCTTAATTTATATATGAGAATGTTGTTGCCGTGTACTGCATTAGGCCTTGATCTGTGTGAAATTTTGGATGGTTGCATTTTATTTCTTAACTCACTTTGATTGCTTAGATTGAGCCCTCTATCATTGCCTGTTTGAGAGTTAAGGATCCTTTGGTTCCCTTCATGTTTAAGATGATGCATGGATGTTTACTTTTTGTAATCCACTTAACTTTGCTCTCAACTTTTCACACGTGATGCATACAGTAGTTCAAGTGCTTGACATATACGTTACTTATTGTGTACAGTAGTGCTTGTCATCCGTTCTGTGTGTTCTCTATTTTGTTCTGCAGTTTTTCATGGCCAAGTAATGCGCAAGGTGGGCGTGGAAGTCATGGGAATGGGGGCACTAAAGCTTACTGGATTCCTTAGGGAGCAGATGCAACAGCATAATATGCATTTTGATTCATTATATACTGTGCGTTCATTGAAGGAGGTATCAATTCATCCTTTGTTCATCCACTACAGGATACCATTTTTATGCTACATGCTAATAAGCCATGGGCTTAACCTTTTCTGTGATTGTTCGTGCTCTAAATAGTGCCACATGATCTTTGATAATCAGGATTGCTTTATTACTTTAGGGGCACTTAGTGACATTGGTTGTTATAGGTTCTTATATTGGGGGATTGCGAATTTTTATTATTGTGAGCAAAGAACATGAACAAGAGATGTTATGTCTCCATCTTCGAAAACTATTTTCACGTTTAAAGTCAGGTAGGTATCGTTCAGATTATCCTCTATTGCACTGGGAAGACACTTAATGACATGACCCGACCACCTGAATTCAACCCATTTCCAGTTTTAATTTAATGCATGCCTTTAAATTTCTTTCCCTCAATTAAAACCTGTTGAATGAACTTCCACACTATAAGTGGGACCATAAATGGAGTGAATTTGGACAAGATCCAATAAATCTAAATATTTAGTAAGACAAATTTTATAAATTGAATAAATCCTTTTTCATTCAAAATTTCTACATAAACTAATGGTCGTGTTTTATTAAAATAGGTATAGTATTGGCCATTGCATGTTAAGTACGTATGTATTTATATGGGATAGGCAACATCATCGACATATGTCACATTGTCGATTTTAACATTGGCATTGTGAAGTTAATGTTGGTCAAAGTTAGGAAGCTCTATGGAGTAACACTAAGTCTCCAAAATTCTTTTTTTATTTTATTTCCCACAATAATGTCCCTTTGGTGTCTTATCTTATAGGATCAAGGACAGTTTTTGTCTTCCAAGTCATTTACCAATCCTGAAACAATGTACAGTGAACAGAAAAACTGAGAGGGTCCTATCAGAAAGTTTTATCCAAGCCACTGTTGGTAAAGACATGACGGAGATCATTATGATTGGCAGCATAAGTATAATATTGTACAGTTTGGTGTTACACTGTTACTCCACTGAAGGGGCTGTTGGAAATAACCATAAGTACAATATTGTATAGTTTGGTGTACGATATTTTTTTAAGTCAGATTGGATCATTACACCAGATTCTGCAACTACGATGTTGAATCACTGGTCAATGGATCACACAAAAGCATTAAAATCCATTGAAAGGCATGCTTTCCAGGCACCTTCAGAAAATAGTGGAGGGGTGACCTTTGTGAACTCAATTGTCAGAAGCCCAGATAACTTAGCAGTCCATAAAGGACTGTTTCTATCTGTTTAATTCATTTAGTCATTCATAATGATTTTAGGTTCTTTCTATTTTTCCGCTCACATTTTTAGGGTAAAAAGCAAGGGAGAGAGGGGGCTTTTTATAAAGAACAACTATAGATTCCAGTTAGTTACTTTTACCTTGCTTGTACTTTTCTGGTGACATTTTGTCGCCTGTTGCTTGATGCTATCTTCCTTGAATGAAATCACAGAACCTGTGCTATGTCGCTCTTGATTATGAAGCTGAGCTAGCAAAAGATACACAAGCATCATTTAAAGTTGCAGAAGCCTTGTTCACTCTGTCGAAAGAGCGCTTTCAAACAGGAGAGATTCTTTTTCAGCCACGGCTTGCAGGAGTGTATGTTCATGTTCCCTTACATTCTGTTACTTTATAAGATGGTGTTTTTGAAGCACTCTTTCAAAAAAGAAATAATATTCATTTTTAATATTCTTGGACATCAAAAACTGGTTTTTAGTAGTGATATAATAAAAATGTTGCCAAAGCAAGTTCTTTTGCCAAGGCTTGAACTGCTGAAGCACGAACCTGATAAAGCAGATGAATATTGTAAGATCGTGACTGGTGTTTATCACTATTAATTGAGTAGTCAAATTTTCTTTTTCTTTTTCTTTTTTTAATTTGGAGGAGGGGTAGGAAACTGTGGAGATTTCTTTGATGAGTGATGTCTCATAGACTCATACCCATTAGCTTTGTGTGCTGTTTCCTGCTGCTTTTCTCTCTGTATGATGCATTTGCATTTGTGATGTCCCTTTTGGTACAGGCGTGCAATGGGTTTGCAACAGGCTGTGGCACTTTGCATAGATCATTGCCAAGATGCAGAATTAACAGGCGATGATGGTTGGTTTAAGACTGTAGTCTTGGCTGGGGGGGTCTGCGTGTTTACCGGGACTATCAGGTAGAAATTACTAATTTAAATTTTAAAGATAGGAGATGAGATGAGAAAATCAAAATTTCCAATTCTGTCGGTCCTCGGAAATTACTAAAGGAATATATATGATAGGGTAATGCATAAAATATGCAACTAGGATGATATGCATTTAAATGCTGAATGGAGGTTGCTAACTTTTTGAACTCCTTTTTCCAGAAAGATTAGAGAAGGAACTGCATGAGTGTCTTCCCCCATCCATGTCCAGTGGAATCAGAGTTATCCCTCCCCCTTATGGTACAGATTCTGCATGGTTTGGGGCAAAGCTTATCAGCAATGTAAGCTATCGCACTTTCTAATCAAACATGATTTGACATTCAAAAGATACTGATGTTAACATCCATTATTTCATGCTTATCCATATTTTAGAACATTTATAAGTTTGAGGGAGATTCTCCATCAAGTCCTCCTCAAGTGATTTTGGGTTGAATCGTAATATTTCTTAGTCTGAANTTTTTATAAAGAACAACTATAGATTCCAGTTAGTTACTTTTACCTTGCTTGTACTTTTCTGGTGACATTTTGTCGCCTGTTGCTTGATGCTATCTTCCTTGAATGAAATCACAGAACCTGTGCTATGTCGCTCTTGATTATGAAGCTGAGCTAGCAAAAGATACACAAGCATCATTTAAAGTTGCAGAAGCCTTGTTCACTCTGTCGAAAGAGCGCTTTCAAACAGGAGAGATTCTTTTTCAGCCACGGCTTGCAGGAGTGTATGTTCATGTTCCCTTACATTCTGTTACTTTATAAGATGGTGTTTTTGAAGCACTCTTTCAAAAAAGAAATAATATTCATTTTTAATATTCTTGGACATCAAAAACTGGTTTTTAGTAGTGATATAATAAATGTTGCCAAAGCAAGTTCTTTTGCCAAGGCTTGAACTGCTGAAGCACGAACCTGATAAAGCAGATGAATATTGTAAGATCGTGACTGGTGTTTATCACTATTAATTGAGTAGTCAAATTTTCTTTTTCTTTTTCTTTTTTTAATTTGGAGGAGGGGTAGGAAACTGTGGAGATTTCTTTGATGAGTGATGTCTCATAGACTCATACCCATTAGCTTTGTGTGCTGTTTCCTGCTGCTTTTCTCTCTGTATGATGCATTTGCATTTGTGATGTCCCTTTTGGTACAGGCGTGCAATGGGTTTGCAACAGGCTGTGGCACTTTGCATAGATCATTGCCAAGATGCAGAATTAACAGGCGATGATGGTTGGTTTAAGACTGTAGTCTTGGCTGGGGGGGTCTGCGTGTTTACCGGGACTATCAGGTAGAAATTACTAATTTAAATTTTAAAGATAGGAGATGAGATGAGAAAATCAAAATTTCCAATTCTGTCGGTCCTCGGAAATTACTAAAGGAATATATATGATAGGGTAATGCATAAAATATGCAACTAGGATGATATGCATTTAAATGCTGAATGGAGGTTGCTAACTTTTTGAACTCCTTTTTCCAGAAAGATTAGAGAAGGAACTGCATGAGTGTCTTCCCCCATCCATGTCCAGTGGAATCAGAGTTATCCCTCCCCCTTATGGTACAGATTCTGCATGGTTTGGGGCAAAGCTTATCAGCAATGTAAGCTATCGCACTTTCTAATCAAACATGATTTGACATTCAAAAGATACTGATGTTAACATCCATTATTTCATGCTTATCCATATTTTAGAACATTTATAAGTTTGAGGGAGATTCTCCATCAAGTCCTCCTCAAGTGATTTTGGGTTGAATCGTAATATTTCTTAGTCTGAAAAAAAAGTAAGACAGGTTTTAATAACTCAGAAAATTATTCAGACACTATGGGGTGCCCGGGGTAGGCCACATGCTATGCATGTGTTTGGCTCTCTCTCATTACATCTAAGTGGAAGAAAAGAAAGAGAGAGGAAGTTATTTCACATAGATTCTCCACACCAAAATTGCCTGACAAACTGCTCTCTTCCCTTACTAGATGGATTAGATTGAATTGAAGCAGACTGTTATCCTTGACATACTTGGTTTTAAGGTCAAAAGGAAATATGTGTAAGACTATATATCATGGTCCATCATTGCTTCATGATTTAAGTGTGGCTGTTTTTGTGTTGATGCAGCTGAGCACCTTCCCTGGTTCCTGGTGCATGACAAATAAGCAGTTCCAATTCAAGTCCAGACGCAACCTTATATGGTGATATTTTCATTATTTCCACTAGCACTCTTTTGAGAGTTTACTTAGTCAATGAACTGGAGGCAATGAATAAAGAAGACCTAAAGTGTCAGATGGAATTGTTGTATCATTTTCTGAAAACAGAGAATCCATATGCTGTTAAAGTTGGATTGTGAGCATCCTAGAATCAGAGTTACTGTAATTCTTTTGCTTCAACAAAGTTGTGAGCGGAAAGGGTATGCACATTCATAAGATAGAAGTTGATGTTTACTTCTAAGTACCATTTGTAAGCCTTACAGACAGAAATGATTTTCTTCAAATTATTGGGAATGGTTTGGTTTTAAAATTGGAATCCTTTTTCTTGAATCTGCACCAATTTCTTCAGTCGGATATCTTGATGCGAAACCATTCATACGAATTATATGCACAGGAATGACCCCATAGTACCATGACAGAAACACTATAGTCGTACAAATTATTTGCCGAGATGGTTATAATTACAGCAAGCGCTAAAGTCAGCTACACTATAGCTATATTGAGATTTTTGTAATCAGAATAAAGAACCTGGTTTTAGTCTTGTTGCTTTATGAGATGTGGGTAGAAAGATGGATATTTCAGCAGGTGCACGGCCCTTCTGAGATGGTGATGAAAGAAAAAGAAATAGGTTTGGAGCAAGAGTTGCTAGATAGACTGGTGTTACTTATCCCTTCAATGTTTGTCTACTCCAAGTATTATGATCTTCCAGATTCAGTACTGTTCAAGATTGATTAAGGTTTTCCCCTACTCTTAGTTTTGGACTATGTTGAATTGCTTTTTTGAGTGTGATCCTTTGACTGTTTTTAACCTAAATGTTGTTTTCTTTTGTTTTCAGGAATTGGATTACGTTTGAACAAAACTGCTATAAGCTGAATTCACTCCCTTACTAGCAAGTAACTAATTCATCCCTGCAACATCCTATAGATATCTTTGGCCCTGCTATGATCAATATCTGCCACCACAAACTCATGAACCATGCCATCCACCTCAATGAAGCTCGACCCACATATTGGCTCTGCATTTGTATCCTTCACAAATTTCCTAAGTTCATTTGCATCTTCTCTCTCCCCCACATCAGCAAACAAATGAGCTGCTAACTTATACCTCTCACCAGATGTCGGCTCCAACTCAGTTAGCTGCTTGAATGCATGTTCTCCTCTCTTCACGTCTTTATGTATCCTACAAGCATTCAGTAATGCACCCCATATGGCCGAATTTGGTTTTTCCAGCATTGATGAGATAAGTTCCTCTGCCTCTGTCAACCTACCAGCACGACCAAGGAGGTCTACCATGCATCCATAATGTTCGATGGATGGTCTAATGCCATAGTAATGCACCATCTGATCAAAATACCGGTGGCCCAGTTCAACATGCCCGGCAAAAGAGCATGCAGTGAGGATGGCCACGAAGATAACATCATTCGGGTGAGTCCCATTATCAACCATTTCTTGAAATAGTTTGAAACATTTTAAGGCTTGTCCATGCATGGCAAATCCAGAAATGATAACTCCCCATGTCACCACATCTTTCTGGGGCATATTCCTGAAGACCTCATAACTACACTCAATGCATCCACACTTGGCATACATGTCCACAAGAGCAGTTCCTAGATAGACACTAATCTTGACGATTTTTTTGTCAAGATAAGTGTGTATCCACCTTCCCTGATCCAGTGCTCCCAAATGGGAACAGGCAGATAGTGCACTCACTAGGGTTGATTCGTTCAATGGGATGTGGGAAGCCATCATCTCTCTGAAGATCAACAATGCCTCCCCATACATTCCATTCTTTGTGTATCCTGTTATCATTGCACTCCAAGATGCAGTATCTTTTATGTTCATTGTATCAAACATTTCTCTAGCAGTGTCAATATCACCGTGATTCATGTAACCGGTAATCATTGAGTTCTTAGCAAGTACATTCTCTTCAGAGAATTCTGCAAGAACTCGTTCTGCAGAACTTAGGCAACCTGAATTCGTATACATATGTATTAGCGAGCTATGAACGTGAGTATCTGATCTTATTCCAGCCTTAATTATCTGGCCATGCACTTGTTTACCTTCGGAAAGGGCTTTCGCGTGCGAACATGCTTTGAGAAAAAATGTGTGAGTGTAGTTGTCAGGTGTTAGGCCACGCAATAAGAGTTTATCATATAGTAAGATTGAATCATGAGGGCACTTACCCAGTATTAGGCCTCTAATAATTGTATTGTAGGCAAATATATCGGGAGAAAGAGTTGTGTTAAAGACTGCTAAACCATAGTCGATTTGGCATGCAGAAACGCACGTCTCAATCAGCCTACCGGCATTCAGGGGGTGTCCGATCAGTCCTGACATGATCAATTGAGCATGTAGTTGTCTGATTTCCTGGACGTCGTGGCACATTTGAAGCAAGATAATGGTCTTTGGGATTCTTGTAGCTCTCTTTGAAGGGAGGTGGTTCTGTTTTGGAAGCAATGGATTTACCAAAGAAGCAGCCATGTGAAAGACATTGTTATAGGAGAAGAATCATTCAGCACTGTTACAAGAGATTTATTTGCAGGAAATGAGGGAATTCTAAAAAGACCATTCAGCTTATGGCTATTAGAAGAAGAAAGGGAATATATGTTGTGGTTTGGTGTAATCTAAACCATCCACAGCCACACATACCATATCCGGGCAACAAATGACAAAAGGACCGATACATCCTGGTCTACAATACTAAGATCCAAAGTAGCAAATGATTGAAGGAGTTGCAACTTTGGTCACAGATACTTATATGCAAAATTTGTTAATCTTCAAGAATTTTTTTTTTCTTTTTATGACAGGTGCTCATCCCAAACATACANATATGTTGTGGTTTGGTGTAATCTAAACCATCCACAGCCACACATACCATATCCGGGTAACAAATGACAAAAGGACCGATGCATCCTGGTCTACAATACTAAGATCCAAAGTAGCAAATGATTGAAGGAATTGCAACTTTGGTCACAGATACTTATATGCAAATTTTGTTAATCTTCAAGAATTTTTTTTTTCTTTTTATAACAGGTGCTCATCCCAAACATACGTAACTGCAACACAAATCCGAAATGAACACAATCACCAATAAGCACACGGAAAATGCCACTTGACTCTAATTTGGAGACCTAATTCTATACAATTATTGAATTAATAATCAGTTTCATTAAATATTAGAATTTACAATTAATTTAATGATTACATTAAAATTACATTATTAGGTCTTTAGATTAAATCTCCAGATTAGCTGTCTATAGTATTGCTCATAAACACGCACATGAATTGAACTCTGGGCATTATCAGGCTAGTGTAACATGGAAGCTCTTGTAGCCCCTCCTAGCACTCAATGGCAAAAAGGCCAGGTGGGTAGTTCCCGTAGTGGTTGAGGTAGCTGAACAAGGTTGAGGCACAACTATTTGATACATCATTCAATTCCACAGCACAAGGCATAGCAAATTCTTTGAAAGCTGCTCTGCACAGCATTGTTTAAGTGGGTAATGTGGGCCTCTGCACTGCACAGAAAATGATATTTGAGCCTCCAAAACAAGGGCAATAACCAGAGTAGAAAGCCTCCTGTAAGCATTAGCAATGGGAAAAGATTCGCTATGATCCGACAGACTTGCACTGGCATTGGCTGATTTTGTTGGTGATAAAGCAGAGCAGGGCATGCAAGCCTTGCTTCCTCTCCTGGCATTCACTGGCAGAAGGTCCAGTGGGTACTGCCCATAGAGGTCGATGTAGCTGACTGAACATGGTCGAGGCACAATCAATTGATACATCATTTTATCTCCCTCTACATAAGGCCAAGCAAAATTCTTTGAATACCATGTGAGAAATAGCTAACCGGCGTTCCCAAAAACAAACACATGGGCTCAGTTTCTCAAACTTCATTTGTTGAATTTCATTATATAGCGGTGCAAATTACATCACATATGACTCCAAAAAGCATTGCATCATCCTCTGATAAATTGAAAGAATGACAAGGGAGGAATACAAGAACACGCCCAACTGTAAAACTTTGCATTAAGCCTTTTTTGCTCTACACTGTCGAAAATCTGATTTGGGGAAACAACCCCCATGGCTATAACTCTAGCTTCTTGTTAGTAACTGTTTTTTTTTTTGTTCAACAAAAAAGAAAAGAAAACGTCTGGCTGGTTAGCCATGTANGGAAACAACCCCCATGGCTATAACTCTAGCTTCTTGTTAGTAACTGTTTTTTTTTTTTGTTCAACAAAAAAGAAAAGAAAACGTCTGGCTGGCTGTGTAACTGCCCGGCCATGTCCCCAATAAGGCATACTTTTTGCACTGACCTCTTGAAATAATATGTTCAAGATATGCAGGTTACTCCAATTTCAAGTTGCAGAATTCAACAAAATAACCTTCGCTGCAAAAGAAACCTAGCCGTCAGAGCTAGTCTGGAAAGGATATACGAAAACAAATGCAATTATTGGATGGTGAATGAACATTGGGATGAGTGGAAGCATAGTTTATTTCGTTCATATAAACACTTGGTATGGTGCTTCAAAAGACTGACCAACTTTCCTCTCTCAGGATATTAAAACTTCAAATGGAGCACAACAGAACTGGGTTCAGGTTCTACCAAACTAAACAAGCAAATATTCGGTGGTGGAATAAACCAAAAAGGGTCACAGAGAAAAAAAAAATGCCCCTAAAAGTCATCTACATGCTTCCTCAGTTCAATTGTCAATTACTAGGATGGTCATTAGGTTCAGGCGTTCACCTACTGATGGATCTATGCCAATTTTTTTTGTTCCTTTAACAAATATTCATCTGAAATCATGGACAGCCAATTTTTTTAATGAAGAGTGACTTACTCGAAATTTGGACTCCCGCAGATTCTTCAGCAACTCTGCAATCTCAAGTTGCTTCACCACTGTAGCATGTACTACCTACAACACATTAAATAATGAGTCACTCGAAAAGAGTTTGACACTTCAATCAGGGATGATGAGGCTTACTCTCTTAGTTTTCTCAAGGTCAAACTCCACCAATTTGATCCTGTCCATTGACTCCTGAAGCATTTGCTCCTTCTCCAAAGGAATTTCAGCAGGCTTCTTGTTAAGTTCTTCGAGTAGTTTTTCAAGTTTTTGAAGACGCTGTACACAAGGAAGGACACGATCTTCTTCACTGACAGCTTCAGGACAAAGAGGTGAACGGCTATCTGGATTGTCTTCTAACGCATTAGATGGATATATGTTGTTATGTCTTCTCCAGAACTCAAAGGGTACACTACGAAGAAATGCATGCAGTTTGACAATAAATGATATCAATGTTCTTGCCATATAACGGAAACTCCTCTTTACAACCTTTTCATTGATTGTGTCAAACCAATGGATCACCTGGGCTCCTGAAATAACAGGTTAATATCAGATATAAATCTCACAAAAGGATGATAAAATAGAGACCGATTAACGTGACTATGAACAAATGCTAAAATTAACCTAATTTCATTTCACTAGGTCAGCATTTGAAATACTCTAAATTTATTAATGCAAAAGAAGATGATGAATAAGAAGAAGAAACACAAAATGAAAAGAACACTTTGTTAATGAATTTTAAAATTGCTAGTCCAGAAAGAAAAAAAAAGGCAGTAACAACAGGAAAATGCATTTTCATCATTCTTTGGAAGACAAAAATTTTTGCTCTACCTGTGTGCAACTACCAAAGCCATTATCAAGTCCTAACCACTATTATTACCACTCGAATCAAAGCTCTTGTAACATTCCTTTACTCTCTAAAGATTTTACCAACTATGCTTTAACTCTTTTATGTTGGTTTTGCTTCTGCAGAAAGTAGATAAACACCATGAATTTTGGAGTAAAACTAGAATAAACACTACAGCCTTCAGTCTAAAATAAAAAAGAAGCATCCAAGAAACAAAACCAGTGCTTCACCCTGTGCTTTGGAAAATAATTTTCATGCAGCGGAACCCTCTCTGAAGGAATAGATAATAACCAACAGAGAAACATACCTTCTGAATTCAGGTTCAAGTCGCTCGAAAAATTCTCCGCATCATAACCTTTAGAAGATTGATTCTGAGAACATCCTATTCCTTGGTCAGTGCCAATAGCTCTATCAGCCTCGGTAAAGTGATCATCGCAACTGTAGTAGATAACTGGCTCAGCAGCTCCATCCTGGATGATTACAATTTTGGTGAGAGAGAGAGAGAGTTCAGCCTTCTGATTAACCTAGCAAACTGGATCTCAGAAGATTGCCCTTGACCCAAGGGACGCAGGATTTGAATTAAATATAGGAGAACTCACATCTTCACAGACTGGACCAAATTGTGAATACGTAGAGCTAATTTGTTTTGTTGGAGAACAAGGGTCATCAACAGCTACCGCTGGTTCCAACCTAGATGTACTACCACTTCTTCCCTGAACACAAAAATGAGTCGTATTACACAGTATACAAGATATCATAAAGCCCATCAACATAATGCAGATCCAAGCAACTTGCCTTCAAGGGGCATATTTGTATATAAGAATCAAATTTCTGCAGGTCACCAGATACTCTGGTGATTTTCCTCACAAATTTTGCCTCTGCATTATATACAAGCTACAAATGGGACAAACAACTATGATTCAGAATTACATTGGTTAACATAAAAATATGGTACAATTGTTTGGATAAGCAAACACTCTCCTACTTGATATCATGCACGATAAGATCATGCGTAAGACACAAAATAATGTAAAAATTCCACAGAACAAATTAAATTATGCTTACCTTCATTATTTCAGGATCATTCCACGGACCCATATTAGACCTAAGGCAACCTCCTTCAGCAGAACAAGTGCATGAGCCACCTAAGAAATCAGGCAACTGACTGAAGAAGGAAAATGTAATCAATGAATAGATGATCTTATTGCTGAAGATTTATATGAGGTGGAAACAGGAGGAAATAGGCACACCTTGGGTCAATGGCTTCAAGTAATTTGCCCAAGTATTTAGGCTCCAATACCTACAAATTGGGAATATCAATGAGCAGCAGTTAATGCTGCACTAAATGGGTAGAAAGGTAGAAAAGCCTAAGCATACATTCCTTACCTGTATTTTCGCAATAGTCTTTGCATCAAGAAATTTCTGAGCAGCAGGCCAAAGCATCTTCTTAAAGCCAGGACCAGCATTAACAATGAACATCTTATGTAGAGTCTGTAGATCAATGTGGGAAACAACAATTGGAAAACCAAGCACTCAAATATCGTCGAGATACTGGAAAGGTCCATGAAGGTAATTGTCAAGAATCTCACAACACAGATTTGAATACCTCAGGGTAGTAATTGTTGTCAATTTTTGCCATGGATGACAGGAGGCCAGCAGCTGTTGGCGTGAAATTCTTAACACCCTGCATGTCACAATAATCTATTATCGGTAAAATTCTGCACAGATGAAATTGCAATAATCAGTTGCTAGTAGAGGAAGAAACGTTAAGTTTCTTATTTATGCCCCACTGTCAATAATATACGCATGTCTTCTGATACTGACTCAGAAGACAAGCGCTAAATGCAATACTAATAAATTCTTAACCATATATGTTTACAAAACAATATGCAGATGATAAATATCTATATTCTGTCTGACAAAGCTATAAAGCGCTACTGGAATACATAAGTTCTCTAATGAACCGCGCTGAATTTCGCAATGCTGTCAAGTGATAGGGTAACATACCAGGCCTTGCACATCCAGAATTGTTGTTGATGAACATATTTGTCTCTTTGCTGCAATGGAACATGCAGGGAATTTCTCATGTAGAGCCCTCTCAAACTCTTGAACATGGTATTTTAAGTAGCGATCAATTGTGGTTGTACGCATTAATTTGCTTGGATAAGCTTGGCCAAGCTTTTCAATGTAAACGGGCCTGCCTTCCCTATCAACTCCATGGTATCCTTGAGGGTAGTACTGCAAGACTTCTTCCAATTCTTCAAATTCAAAGTCCTGAGTATCAGTTGGTTCAGTATGTTGGTAAGTTAGACAGCCAATAATTGGATAAAAAAAATAGCTTTAACAATGACATGCTTTGAATTGTTAGAAAACCCATAGAACTCATATGCCCTAGAAGTACTGGCATAGGTTAAGAATACAACTATATGTCATGGTGCTATTATACAAATTGTTATCATTAAATTTAAATAAAATTACCACTCTGATTTGCAACTGCTTGCCCAAGAATATTTAGATATTTCAAGTGCTCCTTGTCGATATTAAAAGACTGGTCGAGTTAATTTGTGCAATTACCTCCAGTATGGTGTCTATTCCATAGTCTTTCCTCCAATTTAGCATTTCTTCCCACATCTGTATGGTTTTTTCAATATTAAAATCTCTTGCTTTCAAGAATCTACATGAAAAGAAAAGAATAATCGGTGGTCAAACCAATAATAGTCGGTGCACAAAATTAGACATAAGTAAACTAGCTGACCAATAATAGTAGGCACACAAAATTAGACATTAGTAAACCTAGCTGAAAACCCAAACACCACAGCAGTTCACCACATTATGCGCAGCAGCTCACAACTAAAAAACAATATTCCTCGCGTCTGAACATTTTTTTCCCTTTGAGTCTCATATCAACTTTAGCACATGAAGTTAATCAAACCCAGAGTATCATTTCTACTTAAAAAAAAAATTGTCCCTAACAGATGAAGATAGAACAAACATTACCATTTAGAGGTCATTTGTTAGGCTTAAAGGGTCCCTTTTATTGAAATGAAATAATATTAACTAAACAGTTGGATTCCTACAGTCACATGTAGGACACAATGGCTGCTTCAATTTCCCTGAATCAAGGTGGCTAATCAAGCAAATTGAGAATTGATTACACCCAACTTAGACTTCGAATTTGTTCTT